TTTATAGAGCTTCTTAAAGACAATTACGTCAAGACGAAGTTCGGCTTTCTTCAGTGTGAAAGAGCAAGTTGACGCAAGTATGGCACGACTTAAGGACGATTAATAGGACCGTGTGATTAATAGCAGGGTGTACTTCTGGGCGTAACGAGCAGCGGGAGGTCGATTCGCGTTTTCGTTTAAGACAAACAAATTCTCCGAGCGATCCACGCGCAGAGTATACCGGTGTGCAAGAAGATTTTAGAGCGAAGATGCAAGAGACAAACGCGCCTTACAACGATACCGTATATCCATACAAAGTAACAGGAAGCTTGTCGAAGAGGAATTCGCAATCGACACAGGGAAACATCGCCGCACGAGAGAGCTCTGTTAATTTAACTAAAACATTTCCCGACGTCTTTTCGCCGAGCGGAGCTACGAAATTCCACGCGGAAAATTGTGCAACGGGAGACAGCAGCCCGTCCTTCCTATTTGCAGAGAATCCTATTATCGTCCTTGTCGTTCCTATACCATGTCTCACAAAGTAGCGGAGTATCGAATTCCGCTACTTTGCGACAAGAAGCGGCGCAGTCGGACACTTTCGGGATTCCGATATATTGGCTACGATGGCAATCTCGAAGGTCTTCATTGCGAACACGATTCCGCACTTGTTTTAATCGGGCATAAAAGGAGTTTGCCGCGAGTTCGTTGTCTCCTATTGACCCACCAAATTGGACATTCCATGGATTGCTCACTTTAGCAATATTGATTTCAAAGTAGATGACTTCACCGTTTAATTTGTTTCGCATACATTTCGTATTTCGAAAATGTATATACCTAAATTAATATGATAATATCTGAATTAATTATGTTAATGTCCTGCGAAGTTATTTTATGATGAGATTAGTTTACCTTAATATGCATATTGCAATAGAAAATTCTTAATGATCAATATCACCACAAGACTGTAAATGAAGAATGTATAAAATAATAAAATAATTCAAAAAGTGAAGTCATTTAATTGAGATGTAATTTAATTAACAATAGAATTAACAATATCAGAAATATAAGGGTCTGACGAATAAATGTAAAGCTCAAGCTCTAACAAGAATTAAAATTATTAATAAAAGCCAGCACTGAATGATAATGTGTAATTCAGTTCATTAACAATAAAGATAATCAATCTGAAAAGTCAAAGCTGTTAATACAATAAACATTTCGGCCTTATTTCTGGCTGTCCTAAATATAAACTGATAAATATCAATACAATAGATTTGACGCAATTAATATATTGTACAAGTAAAATTCTACGAAATATGTCCAATAAACTACCATAAAGCACATCGTTACGAAGATGTGTCAAGTGTCACAGAATAGCCAATAAATTAATAATTAAATGATATTAATCAACAGCACACAGAAACAACGCGGTTGCCACGACCAAAAGTTCTCGATCAATACATCTTTTGGTTATAAGAATTATAGCATGATTGTGATAAAATGCCACGTCTTAACAGTTATGGCTGTTAAGATATGTCCATCTTACGGTTATCACAATCAAACATACTGATGAACGAAGATTATCATTATTTCCGATTATGGTAACTGCGTAACATTTTTCCTGTGCAACTAATACTCTTTCTATAATTAAAACAAATAGGTTTTCAAAACCAATCATAAATTAAATTCATGCCCTGTTTAATTATTGACATCCAATATATTTAGACGATCTCTCCTCTCCCACCTCAATTATAAATTGTGAGTAGAGATGATATATATATGTATTGATAAAAGACTATAGTAACGTGTTAATATTGTATATTCGTTATGAATTAGATGAAGGGCGATATTATCTACATAAAAACACAAAGTAAATATAAACCTATAAAGTGTATGTAATTTAATTAATCAAGAGTAGAATTTAAAAGAAATTCTTTTAGTTATATATATATTAGACTGTATTTTTTTATGCTTTCTATATTTAATTTTAATTAAAATATTCTTTATAAAAATAATAGAGTTTTATTACAACTGTAATTTTATAGAAAGCGCCTAAAATTAAATAAATGAGGATTAAAGTATTATAATTACCGATGGCCGAAGCAATTTTTTTCATTATGCGACATTACGAGTATTCCTGCGAATAATTTAAACTTTAAATTTATCCTGGCGTAAATCAAATATATTCCACAGGTACCTCTTGTTAATTTTTAGTAGAGCTCATGCCAAGCTCGGCTCCGCGGCTTAATTAATATAGAATTTCTGGAAATTTTAGTATTTTATTTCCACCGTTGAGATAAAACGCCTCGATGCATTGTGGAATTTACTTTCTGACTCGTTGTTTGGCCAGCGACAGACGAGCAAACTCACCTCATGTCGAGTTATTATTCCGGTATACATTTTACTTAAGTATCATAATTTATACCGATTGGATGTGTGTGTTTTATTGCTTACAGATGAGATTCTATAGAATGCCAGTTATTATTGATGAACTAATATTATATAAAGTGATAATTGGTTCATTTTAAGATATTCTATATAGAATTAACTGTAATTTAGTATGAGGAATGTGACGAGCAGATTGCCTAATATGACGATTGTCAACTAAAAGTTAATTGGGAAACAGTAATTAGCTCGTTTTATTGTAAAATTGAAACTCCACGTTGACAGAGATTTCGAATCTAAAATGCGGTGCATTAAACAAACGGCCCGCGAGCGGGACATTAATTCACCATTACGTCATGGTAATCAAGTTAAATTTTCACAATGGGGAACGAATTTCATCCCAGTTGTACTGCCTGCCGCCATCAATTTTGCAGGTGCGCATGACGTTTACAATTCGCCCACATTAATTATTCCGGAAGTTCTCAGAATCCTAACATTTCGCGCCTTCCGACTCGGATAGTGCATCGCGTACATTTTACATATAGATCTACTTATCTACGGAAGATTTCTAAAGCATACTTCAAGAAAATTCGTTTAAATTACCTAGAACTGCAAAATAACATACATTTGGCAATCGATTATTTCCAAAATTTAATATACAGAATTGTTTAAAAGTAATTTTTGCATATAATTCTCTCTCTCTCTCTCGCTCTCTCTCTCTTATATACAGGTTATTTAAAAATTATCTAAATATCACTTGGTTGTGTTGATTTCTAAAAAAAATCGTTTCACATAACTAATAATTTTTTAATTAAGAAAAATAACTTTTTCAAAATTTCATTGTTTATAATCAATAATGAAATTTAATATATTTATAAACACCTAATATAGTTTATAATAATATAATTTATAATAGTTCATAATTTAGTGAACATACCATTTATTCTTTAGTAAAGTATTTATTATAAATCTAATATAATTTTCTAGACTGATATATAATAGCTAAACAAAAATGATGATGCAATAGGATACTTTCCTTTTTTTGTTCGTCATACAGATAAGTCCTACGGCAATTCAATTGTGCTTGATAATATATGTATGATGAACTTTGACCATCTTGCACAGAAATCGATATTCCTAACATACACACTAGGCAATCGGGTTACCACACAATGCCTAACTTTCACATTGGCTGCAAATTTGAAGTCCACATCAGTGAAAGTAATTGCACAAACTTTCACTGATGTGGACGATGTTCAGCGAGCGTTAAGGCTAGTTATTAGAGAGCACGTGTATATCTCAGTGACAGCCACGTTACAAGCGTGCTATTCCGACGTGGGGAAACATAAGAGAGGGTCCCATGGGGTTGCTTTCTCGCCCTCTGATCAATATACCGAGAAAGGCTTATAGCAGTAACCGTTTCTAACTATATATCAATTGTTATGCGAATTTGTCTTTCCACATTTTATTTACTTGATGTGGATGTTTGTTGAAACCGATATAATGTAATTTTCTTTCAATACTATGGCCCTGTTAATCCTATAAAAAAATTTTTTTTAAATTAATGATTCTTCATATTCTAAAGTATCATTATTCCCTCGTTCTTCTTACGTTTGCTTATTTATTTCTATATTCATATTTTCAATTTAGAAAACACTTGTAGTTGCGACACTTGATAAAGATTGAATAACATTTTTTACAATCATGTAGAATTATTTTGTTTAATAAATAAAAAATAAAATTTTTAAAAGTCAGATTATTCGGAATAATACCTAATTTCAACATGCTCCGTTACGAGACTACATCAATAATAGTAAAACATAACAACATCAATTATAATGAATATTCGATATAACGTTGTGGGATCAATTTAATGGAAAATATGATTTCCGATGAGTTAACCTATTCAGTGAATTTATTGGCATAATTCAACTTCAAGAACGGTTTCAAAAATAAATTAATGAAATAAATTGGAATTTCAATTATTTGATAATCGAATAGTATTATCGTCACACATCCGTCTTCTATACATAATACGTATATGCACATATAATCTTCATAATATATGCCTATCATTTTATCGTAATTATATCACACCGCAATTAATCGCAAAAAGTATGAAACAATAAGACACAAAAAAAGCCATTTATATTCTCTAGAGATTCAATTGTCAAACAATTCTCGTGTATTATCGCAAGAGTCCAATGTATTCAGAATTAATCATGATCTATGATAATATCCCAATATTTTATCATTCTTTCTGCCGTCATAAATGTGTTTTCCCTGACTTTTGTTTTCTTTCCATATCCGTTCGCATATTTATACAAATATAGTAATAATATAATTTTTGTAATAAGAATACATATAATAAAATATGTATATATGCATATATTACCGCTCGATTCAGATCGTCGTTTCTTTTTACTATGCATTTGCAAAAAACGAGCGAAATCTAATTAATAAAATATGATTTTATATTCATTGTGGTTATAATTTAAAAATCTAATAAACTTTAACTCTAAAATAAAAAACATAGAAGTATAAATAAAAATATTGTTTTATCATTATTCCATTAAATTCAAAAATTTATTGCAACTAGACAACTTGTAGCATACAATCATAAACGCTCAATCACTCACCCCTATGACTGCCGGTGATCTTGTCCCGCAAGATATTTATCTGATGCACTCGACCATATTCCTCAAACATCGTCCTCAAATCATTCTCGTCCATATCGTGAGGTACCTGCCCTACGAACATCTTTATGTTGTCTGGATCCGGCAGCTCCACACTGTTGTTATTCATTATACTGCAACACGAAAAGAAAGTTTATGTTGTATATGCGGTATATTAAACATGCGTCCGTAGAAAAAAAAAAACAATATGCCGTTATTAATACGTTAACAAGTCAAAGACTCCTGTGTGCACTTTATCAGTTTGTAGTCGTGTAATCTCGTGAATGAAGCAGAAGATTAATTCGATAGAAAATGACACTTTTTTCAATAATAATATACGTATTCACAGGCAACGGTCACATTTGTTAATTCTAAAAGTAGTAAAAATAAAGATTCATACATAAGTTATTATATAAAATGACTGTGACAAAAAAAAGTCTTTAGCAATTTTATAAAATAAATTGCACTTGTAAGCTCTTATACTCAAGGATTACATATGTTTGCGCGATAATATTTGTTCATAAAATCGATGAATAAAACGATTTCGCAAGCGGATTTATTCAGTCGACTATTTCGCGACCCAGAACCCAATCGACTATTTTGATTGGACACGTTGCAAAGCGCGAAATATTCTCACGGGCATCGCACTCGTTAAACGAGCGATTAAAATATTAAGCACTTTATCTGTGCAAAGTGAAGCGGAGGATGATTTTATTGCGGCGACATATATACTGTAACCACGAATGGTCGCAAAGTGAGTTAGAAGTTATCATATCTGGAATGGAAAAATATTGGGCCGAATATTTTGTAGCATGTTCCCTATGAATATGATTTATTTTATATACAGACCATGTCATCGTTATTGAATATCGTTTCAGCTTCAGGCTGACAAATTTGAAGTCGATTTGCCGTTAGCAATAATTTCATGGAAATCCATCATCGCTAGCAAATTTTCAACTTTCCATTTTCGATACTTTCGACATACACAAATGTCAAATACAATTTTTGTTAAAGTAACATTGAGAAGAAACCAGTTTTGAAATGTGATAACTGTTTATCTTCATAGTTGATTCAAGTCCAAATTGAATCGCATGAAAAAAAAACGCGAGAAATGTTTCGGAATATACGAATATATATTTTGCACGTATACTTATATTTAACCTACGTTACCCGACGAAATTTTTCGCAGTGAAGCTCGCACGCCCCAGCCGAACGGCCGGATTAATGCTGCATTTTGCGAAGCGCGGCCTGCATGCGACGTATGACTATTTTAGTACATACAGCTGTGAGCGCGTTGCTCACCACGTATAAAAGACTACTGGTGTGTTTGGTTACCCCATAGTACATATTTGACCGTGCACAGGCTCGTCCGCTTTCGAAACTTACGCGCGGAGCTTTTCACCGGCACGCAGTAATTTCGCCCGGATTATGCGTGTTTGAGGTCCTACCCTTGGAACGGTATACACCATTCCCGCGATCGCACGCGAATTCTCGTCCGTCGATTCATCTGATGCTGGACAGCTCGCATGCGCAAGTTTCTTCTAATTTTATTCTTCACGCGGATCTACCTCGACCAATGTTTTCACTACAAGTCGTTGATTAAAATCTGATACGTGGGTCAATATTTTGCATTCCAGACATTTTCCCCACGAAAGCATATAAAATGTTACTCTTGACTTTATTTTACAATCTCTGATTATTCCAACGGATGCATGCGCAACCATTACTATCTTCTAAGCGATTTAGCAGGAGATCTAAATATCCTGCTTTGATTTAGAGAGCGAATCGACGCAAGTGCGAGCTTACAATAACATAAGCCGGATACAGATGCAAGCTTTTGCTAATGATTTGGAAACTATTTGCTAAATTGAATAGCGGAAGGAAAGCTTGTTATCAGTTAATACGCCAAACTTAAGCGATACATGGGTCTTTATAACAATTTTTGAAACGTATTTTATCAATTACCAAGCTGGAGTAGTAACTTTATACCTGCTTTATTATTATATATACATTTATTTTATATAAATTGAGATATTTAGGCTGTAACGAATTAAATAAAAAATGTAATAATAATACCAATATGAGCCAACACATTAGGTAAACGTGCATAAAGCTTATTGACTAAGGATATAATTAAAATAAAAAACAAACGTTTTCTTTTTCGATCTTTTTTGTTCTTTTCAATCTAACAATTATATACATACATATGTCAAAATTATATTATATAATACATTTTAATAATAAGTCTGGTAAAAACTGTTACAGTAGAATGGAATCAGGGAATTTATATATATTTTTAATTTTATATTTTATTTATAATATTATTAGTTGAAATGTATGCTACAATAATAATATGCAAGCATAAAAATATATATCTAATACATCAAACGTAACACAAGCCTTACACAAAGCTACAAAACAACTGTTGAATTACTAATCAAAGAATTTTTATTCAAAATAAAATATTTCCAAATGCAAAAAGCGTTTCGATAAAAGCGCACACAGAACTTTTGCTTTTTCATATATGCTCGCACGTGCAGGATGCATATCACTTTAGCGGGCGGTTAGCTGTCTCGCGTGAATTATGCTCGTTGTAGAATGCGACTGGTTGTATGAGTGAAAAGCATTACTGTTTTACTGCGAGCGTGACAGTTTGTCGCGCCCTAAAATTGTTTGCATAAAGTTTACCGGTTGAAACGGTGACCTGATGCACCGTTTTGCCAATCGTTTTCTCCTACGTCTTTCCTCCTCCTCTTGCGCACACACTGCTACATATAAATCACCAAACTTTGATAGTCATCATTCGCGTTTCATGGATCAAAATTTCTAATCGATCACAACGGTATGCGCAAGGTAGTTAATTACACGCGACCTTATAGGTGTGTCGTGACTACCTCGGATTTCGTCGTATCGTTGATCTATCTGTTCGTTACGAAATTCCAGACATATCGATCGTGAAGGTGGAAAGGAGAAAAACATTCACGTGTTTGCGGGATAAAACGAAGTTTACACAAAGCCGACCGTCCGAACGGCAAATAAGGAAATTTCGGAACGCAACGCCGTCCGGCGTGCACCCCACGGGAAGGGAAAGCTTTTGCGATCCCGATGCGCGATGGAAGGAAAAAAAAAGAGTTCGGGAATTTCGCGAAACGATAAGAGAAAGTTAATATTAGTCGGCGCGGTTTAAAGCGATTTTCCGACCGAGCGACTGCTCTCATCTCAGTCTATGGAGTGTAGGAGATCCTGTAAAGAGTGAGGGAGCAAAGGAGAAGGGGAAGGGGAGTGTCTACGGCAGGAAACCCTCTAGGGTACTGCACATCTCGTCGCCTTGTCTATCCCCTTTTGCGAACAAAGATGGGAATGGGTTAACTAATCAAAGAAGCGACTACGTTAACTAAACGGGAAGGTCTATCCTGGAATCGAGCGGTGATTGGCAATCGCTTCTTCGGGATTGGTCACGCGCAGCATCCGCGCGATGGCTCTTCGATTGGATTAATCGAGATTTATCGCAAAGTTCCGGAAGGGGAATAGTAGCTTCGGCCAAAATACGTAGATACGTACAACTGTATTTGCCGGCTGTCGCACCAATGAAACCGAAATGCATGTAATTAAAGTGACACATTAAAATATTGTGAACGTGATAATATTACGACGATGGAGAGACAGATGATCAATTAAATTGTCGCCACTTGATAAACTGTTTCGATATCAGTCGGAAAGTTAGTCGGAAAGTTAGCCGGTATCGCTGCAATAATTATAAACTGGCAGTGAGCTTTTGCGTGAACGAGTTAATAATTAAAACATGTTCCGCTTCGAAATATTGTAGAAACAATAAATAATTGCTAATTTTCACAATGGTGCTAAATTTTCATTATGCAACGTAACTAATTGCAAAACGCAAGCGACACTTCGTAACAGCGAACTATAAATTAGTAGCTCAATTTCTATTCAATTATTTTCATCGTTTTTATTCAATTATTTTATTCGTTTTTTTACGTACGATTTTGACTAAAATTATAGAAGTAATTTTAATAAATTGAAAGAAAAATAATTTTAAAAGAATAAAAATTAGGTTAATTAAAGCTAAATTAAAGCTACTGTAAAATAATTAACGTTCACAAATTTCAAAGCGCGGTAAATGTCCTAGACGCTTATTACTAATTCATTTCAAACTTTAAAATTATGTACGTAACCTTCTTCATACAATTTGATACAATTTATTATTTTTTTTATCTCTAAATAAGAACCGGTTTATTTAATTTATACTTCCGCCATACACAAATTATTAAAAAAAAAACGACAATCACTACAATATCATATTTAATTTTTCGCAGAAAGAGTGCATTGTTTTCACCACGGATTTGTAAAATCACGTCGATCCGGACACTTCCGGTGATTCTGGTGTGATTTGTGGATACCGCAAATTGACCCTGGTTACGAGCAAGGGCGACCAACAACTCGTAATCCCGCATCGACGTTACTGTGACAGTAACGGCTGTTACGTATTTCCGGTGTCCAGCGTTCGCTCAATTATCAGATCACCGCGCGGATTAGTGCCAGTGGGTGTACATATATTGCGATCAGTATCTTATCGGTAATGGGGAATGCTGCTCCTTCCTCGTCAAGCTATAGGAAGGTGAATAGAATACAAAGATAGGACAGAGAAAGATGGTATCCTATCCCGCGAGAACGAGATCAGGAAGGAAAAGAGGAAGCGCGACCGTTTCGCTGTGATAGAGGTACATCAAAGAAGAGCACTCACAATACCCTTTGTCGTTCTTCCTTTCCAGCCGCATATCCTATTTCTTCCTTTGGGTACCAAAAATTTATCAACGTGCGACATTTGCGTCAACAACTTAAATTAATAGATATTTCAAAGCTATGATTACAGAGACAGCGTAAATACTATCGAAAATTTATAGTCGCTTTCCTCACTTTAATCTAAATTGCAATACTTTTGAGAAAAACATTTTTAATTATGTACAACTCACGATTAATTAAAGTGTGATTTATCTTTAAAAAATAAAAACGCATCGAAATTTCATAATTTTTCCAATTTTGTTTGATAGAGATAAGATTATATCTTAAAAATTCTAAATGTGTAATAAATAATATCTTTTATTTTTAAATAATT